CACTGTGGAAATAGTGCCTTGTGCCTAGAGGGAGCCCAGCCAGGCACCGAATGGCTTGGCATATTGAAGAGACTCTCAGTGCCATTTTGTTGGTCCTGGGAACTTGCTGGATTGGGCCAACTGGGACTTACATCCCAAGGAGAGCCCTTTCTCAGGGCCTGCAGCACAGTGGGGATGGCTTATGGTTTTTGTCGCTGAAACTTCCAAGTTTCCTTAGGTGTCGGTCTAGAACTGGTGTGGAGTCACTGACACGTACTGGCCACACATGCTGCTGGCCCTTCCAGATTTGACCATCAGGAGTGCGGTGGGTGCTGGGTGGAGGGAGGAGCCTGCTGGCGGCTTAGAGTCTGGGCCCCGTGTGTGACATCTGTCACCCTGCAAGGGACCTCTTCCCTCACCCCCAAGCCCCCAGTGCCTTTTCTCATTCCCCAGTGACTTCCTTTGAGGCGGGCCTGGGCTGGATGCAGGCAGGCTCCTGGCCCAGCAATCAAGGATGAAAACCAAGCCACTGCTGGGATCACATGCTCATGAAGGGTTTCTGCATCTAACACGAGAACTCCTGTGATGGGCATTTGGCACAGAGGCTACCTCACTGCTGGGGTGCCTACATCCCACACTGGAGTGCCCGTTTGAGTCCCAGCTCCCCTGCTTGCAATCCAGTTTGCTGCTGAGGCACACCCTGGGATGCAGCAGTGAGCTCAGGTCCTTGGCTCTGCCTCCCACAGGGTGGCCAGCTGGAGTTGGTGAGCTTTGCCTTCAGCCTGGCCCAGCTCCAGCTGTTGCAGGCTCTTGGGGAGTGAACCAGCAGATCGAGGATCTCTCTCTCTCTGCCTTTTCAAACAAATAAAACATACAAAATAAATAAAACAAGGCCCTGGGGTTTGTTGGGCTCTGTGGCCTTGTTCAGATCAGCTTCTCTGTGGTCCTTGTCTTTAGGGTGTTTCTTAGATGTAGTTACTGGTACCTACATCTGTTTATCACCTGCCAAGCTGAAGATGAAGGGATCCCCACCTGTGTGCCTGAGTGTGGGTGGCCGATGGGAGCAGCCTGCCCACGGGGCTCTCTGCCTGTTGGCCCTGCTCCAGCACAGGCCTCTCCACTTTGAGGCTCAGGCTAGCCAGCCCCCTTCCACACCTTCCACATTGGCCACTCTGCCTGCACCCCTCTAAGCCAGGCCACATGCTCGGTTCCCGTCACTATGGGGTAAAGTTCAGTGGCCACTTGAGGGTTTTTTGCTGAGGTTTGGAGGTGTGGTGTTGCTAGCTGCAGCTTAGCACATGACCTTGGGCAGGTAGGGGCCTGTAGAGCCATCCAGCAGGCAGCCAGCTGGTGCCCAAGAGCTGAAGAGCAGCCGGGGCCACCTCGAGCTCCACCTACCCCTGTTTCTGTAGGTGAAACCGCCTGCTCCTGACCCCTAAAGCTGCTTTCAAACCTGCTGGGGGCTATGCTGGAGCAACTGCTGGCCCATCTGGGGACAGGGCTGTTTTTTCTTGTCTTCCTGTGCCTTCCTCTCTGCCTCTTCCCTTCCTGTTCCCTGCCCATCTTGCTGCCTCCTTCCCTCTTAGCCGTTCTCTTGAGGCAGATACTCTTCTAGGTGTGTTCCTTGTTGGAATTCCAGGGGCTGCTAGTTTTCTCCCAGCACCCACGGGTGGGCAGGAGCCTCTGCTAGGCCAGCATCCAGCAATCGGTAGAACACTCTAGGCACACAGCTGCTCTCTTGGACATGGAAGGGTAGAGGGTGAGGGTGGCTGGGGGACCCAACTGCTATCTACCTGTCCCTTGGGCCTTCGCTGTTCTTATGAACCCAAGGCCTCTAGCAATGCGGATCCCCTTTCTGCAGTGTCCAGCACTGAGACAGCTGTGTGGCTCAGCTTTGCCATCTCCGGAAGTCTTGTCAGGCTGTGGGTCCCAGGCGAGGTCATGTAACCTGTTCTTGGAGTCCTTGTTGGTGGAAATCTCTTACTTGTGTCTGGCAAATCAGGTTTTTCTGCTAGAGGGATCTGCTTTGAACAGGCTCCACCAGAGACACCTGGGAGGGCTGATGCTCCCTGGGTTGTCACCCTCCCAACTCAGCCTCGGGCAGCAAGGGACCTGGGCCTGTGCTGGAAGTTCTGAACATGCTCCCTCAGGAGTCTGTCCTTTTACACTGGTGAGCTTACCTTTTACACAGTTAAAAAGGTGTTTCCTTTTACACTGGGAGATGTGCTCACTGAAGCCCAAGGGTAGAGAGCACGACTGGGAACAAAGGCTGGACACACTCCTTGCCTGGGCATACTGGTTGTTTGCTTGCTTGCCTTTTCCATGGGTTTGCCTTGGGCCTCCCTTGCCTTCTGCCTCTGGGCTGGTGTGTATGCTCTTTGGACCCTGGGTCCAGACACCCTGGTGCAGGTGTTTGCCCTGTGGACTGGACATGGGGTCCTCTCGGGTCAGGTGTGCAGGATTGTTGTGGCATCACATGTGGGAACTTCCTTTTCCCAGTGCCTGAAGACACACAGCGCTGAAGGCCCTGTGAAGGGTCCTATGTCAGTCGCAGCCTCTGTGGCAGTGGCCTGTGCTATACAGCGGGCTTGGCTCTGAACAGGGACTTCCAGGGACAGGGAGGGCCTGCCACTTGCAGGCTAGCATCTCATCTGTGTAGACTTCAGAGCGCATGGCTGGAGAGCCGTGGCATGCTCAGGCAGCACAGGGAGTAGGATCAGAACGGAGAAGCCCTCCCTCTGTGTGGGCCGCTCAGAGGGTGTGGAACTGGGGAAGTGTTTCTGGGTCGCTGCTCTGGACTTTGAGCTAGAGGCTAGCTTGCTGCTGAGAGGGCCTGTCACCACAGCCACAGTCCCTAAGCTTGTGGGTGACTTCCCCAAGCTCAGGAAAAGAGTAGCTGCTACTTATGAAGTTTCCAGACACAGTGCTGTGGCTAGACTTGGCATCCTTCAGAGCTGACCTGTCCTGGCGCACAGGGGGCGTGGCCCTCACCACAGCTCATCACAAGCCAGACTGCCATACATGGTCACTGCAGCTCCGGGCAGCCCGTGACTCACTCCCTGGAGGCTGATGTAATAGGGAGGCAGTCAGAGCCAGGGAGGGGCTGCTGAGAGCTGCCAGGGAGGCGGGGCGAGGAGTGGGGAGCACCAGCCAGTTCCTGTCACCTGTCCTGCTGCAGCCTGGGTGGCTCAGGCCCACCTGGCCTCGGGGAAGGGTTGGGACCAGGTTCCAGGCAGCTGGCAGAGAGCGCCTCACAGCTGCAGGTCCGACTGCACATGCAGTATGCCCTCTGATAGGGGTGCTGGATTTTGTTTTGGAACATTATGAAATTGGTTTTCTGACAAGAAGGGCTTGCTTGTTTTCCCTGGAAAATTACTGTTTTGAGGTCACGTGGCAGGGCAGTTGGGAGGCTGCGTGGATGCTCACGGAGTGTCGGGCGGCTCTGGGGCAGCTGGTTCTCGGCCGGAAATCTTCCTGAGCATGTTCACTGGGCACAGATGTGAGCTGTGGGGTTTCCAGCAGTAAGGGCTGCCCTCGGCAGAGGAACGTGGCCTGGCAGCCTGAGTGTCCTGCAGAAAGGACTCCAGTTCCCTATAGTTCCAGAGCATGAATAAGAGAAAGGCTTTGTGGGGATACATGAACTTGGCCCAGAGCCTGCGGGTGCAGGGAGAGGGGTTGGTTCTGTGTTGTCTTCCCCAGCATTTCTCTCCTGCCCTCCCTGCTCCCAGTCTGTGCCCAAATGAGAAATTGTTCAGTGGCTACATCCTTCCCTTGAACGTGCTGGGATCCTGCTTGAGCGCTTGTTCATGTCCTGGCTGCTCCACTTCCCATCCAGCTCCCTGCTTGTGGCCTGGGAAAGCAGTCGAGGATGGCCCAAAGCCTTGGGACCCTGCACCCGTGTGGGAGACCTGGAAGAAGCTCCTGGCTCTGGCTTCGGATCAGCGCAGCACTGGTGTTTGTGGCTACTGGCTTACACTGGGGAGTAAACCAGTGGACAGATCTGTCTCTCTGTATCTCCTTTTCTCAATAAATCTGCCTTTCCAATAAAAAAAAATAAAACAAATCTTTAAAAACACACACACAAAAAAAAAAAAAGAAGAAGAAGAAAGGTTTCTTCGTAGCCCAGCATGCCTGGCTGCGTGGAGGGCTGGTGGAGGTGTCCACTCAGGGCCACCGGTCCCTGGGGCTGTGTGTTGGCTCCAGTCCTTCCTCCATTTGTGACGCAGCCCTCATGCTCACCGCAGGAGGCAGCAGGTGCCAGCCTCTGTGAGGTTCCCAGCTTTGCCCTTGACTGTTGAGGGCACTTGTCACCTCTGCCTTTCAAATAAATAAAACTCTAAATGTCATACTTCTTAAGAAAAAAACCAGCCAAATATGTCCCATTAAAACATCTGTTCCTTATCCTAAGATTTTGTGATATGCTTTGCAAAATAACATTGAACTGAACATATCTTTTCCTACATGAAGTGACTATAGTAATTGGTATTTTCTTCTTGGTTTCTTGACTTTTTTTTTTTAAGGATTATTTTTTGAAGGGCAGAGTTAGAGAGAAGGATGGACAGAGATCTCCCATTCATTAATTCATTTCCCAAATGGCCTCGACAGCTGGAACTGACTGATGTGATGCCAGGAGCATGAAGCTTCCTCCAGGTCTTCCACGTAGGAGCAGGGACTCAAGAACTTGAACCATTCTCTGCTGCCTTCCCAGGCCATAAGCAGCTGGATTGAAAGTGGAGCAGCTGGGACTCAAATGGGCAGTGTCCATATGGGATGCCAGCAACATATGGGATGCATGACTTTCAAATGCTGTTACCATACCCATCTCATGCTGGTCTCTGAGCATTTGGCTTTGGCGGTTAGGCTCCAACAGTGGGAGCTCCCGGTTGGTCTGGCTTGTAGTGTGTGTCTGGAGTTAGCAGCCCTTTTGGGACTGAAGTGTCTGCTGGATCTTTGGGGTGGGCTGTCAGGACTGCCTGGTGTTCCCTCTGCGGGCTGACCCCAGGGCCTTGTGTTCTCCGCAGCCATGGATTTCCCCCAGCACAGCCAGCACGTCTTGGCACAGCTGAACCAACAGCGGCAGCTGGGCCTGCTGTGTGACTGCACCTTCGTGGTGGACGGGGTAGACTTTAAAGCCCACAAGGCGGTGCTGGCAGCCTGCAGCGAATACTTCAAGATGCTCTTCGTGGACCAGAAGGACGTGGTCCACCTGGACATCAGTAATGCAGCAGGTACCCCGGTGGGGCCGGGCCAGCTGGTCGGGGGCCAAGTGCTGCACAAGCCCTCCTGGGGTGGCACCTGCGGGGGCGGGGTGCACCAGGTCTCAGCCCAAGCCTGGGATCTGCTTTGACTGGGAGAACCAGTAGGAGGCATTCCAGAAGGCCCCGGCCATGATGGTGCTGACAGGCCAGGGCGGGAGTTCCTCCCATTGGTAAATGCAGAAACTGACATGTGTCAGGTGACTGAGGCAGGGCGCGGGGCAGGGTGTGCACCACGGGTGTTCCCAGCACCATCATCTGTGTAGCGCAGGCACTCTCATCCCTGGTCCCACGGGTAGACTCGCACACCCTCTCAGGCTGTGGAGGGGCTGAGGACCTGCGTGCAGGAGAAGGCAAAGGGAAACAGGAGGCTGAGCTATTGCTAAATGTGTGCTGATCTCCCCCTGCTGCTGATGGGGACGGGTGCCCTGTTGTTGGCAGGCCTGGGGCAGGTGCTAGAGTTCATGTACACGGCCAAGCTGAACCTCAGCCCTGAGAATGTGGATGACGTGCTGGCTGTGGCCAGCTTCCTCCAGATGCAGGACATCATAACAGCCTGCCACGCACTCAAGTCACTTGCTGAGCCAGCCAGCAGCCCTGGGGAGCGCACGGAGGCCTCCCTCATGGAAGGTAAGGTGGCTGGTGGGCTGCTCCCAAGCAGGCGACCAGAGAAGTCCGGCTCTGGCTGATGAACCTGTGCCTGACTGTTGGGGGTCCCTCCTTTGGGTCCATGTCCTCAGCTGGCCCTGACTTGGGGTGGGGTACTGGTGGGGTTAGCCAGAGGCTGGAAGAGCCTCCTTCGCCTGCCCCTCCCCGAGGTCGTTGGTGGTGCTGGCTCAGGGCTGTGCACAAGGATAGACCTGCTCCTGTACCCTCTGCTGTTCCTGGGCCTACCCGCTGGGGCCAGGTTCCTCCTCTTCACCTCAGGGGACTGGTCCTCTCCCTCCAAGCTCTGTCCTCTGATTTGCATCCATGTCACTTCCAGGATGTGGGGACTGTTGCTGTTAGAGCAGGTGCCTTAGCTCTAGCCCTGGGAAGATCCTGAAGAGCTAGCAGGTTCTGGGCTGCCTCGGCCTTCCAAGTAATGGGCACTTGATGGGAAATGGCAGGTCTGTCCTGTTCCACCTCCAGGAGGGGAAAAGAGAGCAAAAGAGAAAACTGCCACTGCCATGCTGAGCAGGCTGGACCAGGCTGGAAGCGGCCCGCCCTCCGGCCCAGGCCGGGAGCTGAAGGAGGAGCGAGGAGGCCAGGCCGAGAGTGCAGCCAGTGGTGAGTTGTGACACTGAGACCCCGCAAGCCACCCTGAATGGGGGAAGTGGCAGCAGAAAGTCACAAGGCCTGGCCTGGCACCTGCTGTCACCTGCTGTCACCTTAGGCTCTAGTGTAGCAAGGGGCTGCTTCCAGAAGGGCCACAGCCCCCACTAGGGGTCTGACTAGCGCAGGAGAGTGGACTGGTCCATCCACAGAGAGTTCCAATCATGCCTCTAACCTCCCTCCAGGTGCAGAGCCGACAGAAAAGGCCGATGCCCCCCGGGAACCGCCGCCTGTGGAGCTCAAGCCAGATCCCACGAGCGGCATGGCTGCCGCCGAAGCAGAAGCTGCTTTGTCCAAGAGCTCCGAGCAAGGTAGTGGCCAGAGCAGGCCCTCCTCCCGCATGTCCTCCAACCAGCCTCTGCTGCCTGCGTCCACCTCCCTTTTTGAACAGACTCATTCTTTTTTTTCTTTTAAGATTTATTTATTCATTGGAAAGTCAGATATACAGAGAGGAGGAGAGACAGAGAGGAAGATCTTCCGTCCGATGATTCACTCCCCAAGTGAGCCGCAACGGCCGATGCTATGCCGATCCGAAGCCAGGATCCAGGAACCTCTTCCGGGTATACCCCACACAGGTGCAGGGTCCCAAGGCTTTGGGCCATCCTCGACTACTTTCCCAGGTCACAAGCAGGGAGCTGGATGGGAAATGGAGCTGTCGGGATTAGAACTGGCGACCATATGGGATCCCAGCACGTTCAAGGCGAGGACTTTAGCTGCTAGGCCACGCCACCAGGCCCGAACAGACTCATTCTTATTGCATCTGAGGAACCGTGTCTTGGTCACCCGTCATGGTCATGTTTCTGCCAGTGTAGGTGCACCTGCTGGTGTGCCACAACGCCTCCCAGGGCCTGTTGGCCAGCAGTGCCTGTCTGGCTGACCAAGGCCCTGTCTCTACATCCCCTGAGTGACACATGCCAGGACACAGATCCCCAGCTTGTTGTCCCTGGGCAATGCCAAATACCATCCACTCCCCACACCCAGATGCTGCCACAGCCCCTGCCTACCTGGAACACCAGGCCCCAGTGTCTGGGTGTTTTGAGCTCAGTCTCTGTGGAGATCACGGCATACCCTCCCAGATTCCTCACCACCACCTGTCCTTCTCTTGGCAGAAATGGAGGTAGAGCCAGCCAGGAAGGGGGAAGAAGGAGAGGAGGAGGCGGCAGGGCCTACTGCGGTCAAGGAAGAAGGAGTCCCGCTGGAGAATGGGGAGGCCCCTGAAGAGAGCGAGTCGGCAGGCACCGACTCTGGGCAGGAACTTGGCACTGAGGCTCGAAGTCTGCGCACGAGCTCCTATGGCGACCGCACCGAGTCCAAGGCCTACGGCTCGGTCATCCACAAGTGTGAGGTGCGGGCCGCGGGCAGCACCGGCCCTCCCCACCCAGCCCCTGTGCCCCGCGCCCTCATGCCCCTCCTCCGCTGCACCCACAGGACTGTGGCAAGGAGTTCACGCACACGGGCAACTTCAAGCGCCACATCCGCATCCATACCGGCGAGAAGCCCTTCTCGTGCCAGGAGTGCAGCAAGGCTTTCTCGGACCCTGCTGCCTGCAAGGCACACGAGAAGACACACAGGTACCTGCCCCGGCAGCCACCTCGCCCTGCGGGCATCACCCCGCCACCCTGGTGCCCTGGCAGCCCGGTGAGCCCTCCTCTCTCCGTCTCCTTCTGACCAAGCAGCCCGCTGAAGCCCTATGGCTGCGATGAGTGCGGCAAGAGCTACCGGCTCGTCAGCCTGCTCAACCTGCACAAGAAGCGGCACTCGGGCGAGGCGCGCTACCGCTGCGAGGATTGCGGCAAGCTCTTCACCACCTCCGGCAACCTCAAGCGGCACCAGCTGGTGCACAGCGGCGAAAAGCCCTACCAGTGCGACTACTGCGGCCGCTCCTTCTCCGACCCCACATCCAAGATGCGCCACCTGGAGACACACGACACCGACAAGGAGCACAAGTGCCCGCACTGCGACAAGAAGTTCAACCAGGTGCGCAGACTGCCCCCGCCCTGGGTGTGGGGGGCTGCCCCTCTGCGCTGGCCTGACCCCGTACTGCACACAGGTGGGGAACCTGAAGGCCCACCTAAAGATCCACATTGCGGATGGGCCCCTCAAGTGCCGAGAGTGCGGGAAGCAGTTCACCACCTCAGGTAGGCATGCGACTGTCCATGCTGCCCAGCTGGCCTGTTCCTGGCCACCTCGGGGCTCCCATGCCAGGCCCGCCCTCTCTCTCCCCACAGGGAACCTCAAGCGGCACCTGCGCATCCACAGCGGGGAGAAGCCCTACGTGTGCATCCACTGTCAGCGGCAGTTTGCCGACCCAGGGGCGCTGCAGCGGCACGTCCGGATCCACACTGGTGGGTGAGCAGGCCCCGCATCACCTCGGGGCTGGGGAAGGGTCGTGGGGCGTGAGAGCTGGGTACCAGCCCCTGCTCCTGTCCCATCTGTCCCCAGGTGAGAAGCCCTGCCAGTGTCTGATGTGTGGCAAGGCCTTCACCCAGGCCAGCTCCCTCATTGCCCATGTGCGCCAGCACACTGGCGAGAAGCCCTACGTCTGCGAGCGCTGTGGCAAGAGGTGCCTGCTGCCCTGGCTCTCCCCTCCTGTGCCTTGGGTGTTGTGGGGTCCCCGGAAAACAGGCTTGGTTGGAAACCTGGCAGCTTGCTGTCCCAACCCAGCCTTCCCCAGGCTCCTAGAGTTGGGAGGCTCCAACCCAGCTCCCCCGGTCCTGGCCTTGCGCAGTTTGATGAGAGCCCTGCCTCCTTTTGGCCCTGCAGATTCGTCCAGTCCAGCCAGCTGGCCAATCACATCCGCCACCATGACAATATCCGCCCACACAAATGCAGCGTGTGTAGCAAGGCTTTTGTGAACGTGGGGGACCTGTCCAAGCACATCATCATCCACACGGGTGAGCATGCAGCCACCTGCCCATGGCCCCTGCTGCAGGTGGCCCTTAGCTTGGCTGGCACCCCTGCCCCCCTCCAGGCCGTCCCTTCCCCAAGGCAGCTGAGATCCCTGCCTTCTCTCCAGGAGAGAAGCCTTACCTGTGTGACAAATGTGGGCGTGGCTTCAACCGGGTGGATAACCTGCGCTCCCACGTGAAGACGGTGCACCAGGGCAAGGCGGGCATCAAGATCCTGGAGCCGGATGAGGGCGGGGAGGTGAGCGTGGTCACTGTGGACGACATGGTCACACTGGCCACGGAGGCACTGGCAGCCACGGCCGTCACTCAGCTCACAGGTACGGGTGGCAGAGGCAGGCCATACGCCTTACCTTTGGGCTGACAGAGATGGGATAGGCACCCATGGCATCTGCCCTGTTGTTCTGCCCACAGTAGTACCAGTGGGGGCCGCAGTGACCGCAGATGAAACAGAAGTCCTGAAAGCCGAGATCAGCAAAGCCGTGAAACAAGTGCAGGAAGAAGGTGAGGGGGCAGCCCGGGGTGTGAACTGCTGGTGGCCCCGAGGGCCCTGCCGACTCTGACTGCAGCTCCCACCTCCACAGACCCCAACACCCACATCCTCTATGCCTGTGACTCCTGTGGGGACAAGTTCCTGGATGCCAACAGCTTGGCACAGCACGTGCGCATCCACACAGCCCAGGCCCTGGTCATGTTCCAGACAGATGCGGAAATCTACCAGCAGTACGGCCCGGGCAGCACATGGCCAGCCGGGCCAGTGCTGCAGGCCGGGGAGCTGGTCTTCCGCTCTCGGGATGGGGCTGAGGGCCATCCTGCACTGGTGGGGACACCACCAACCGCACCCGAGTGTCCACCGCCTGCGGAGTGAACCGACAGCCCCAGCCCTTCTCCTGTTTATTTAAGGATGGATGGCGCCCCACAACTGAGAAGGGTGGCCCCATTCCCTAGAGAGAATAAATTTGATTATTTTCTAATTGTTGCTTGTAGGTCCCTGTGGGAGGATGGGGACGTAGACATACAGCAGCTATGGCTGACGCCAGGGCTGCTCCACCCACGGACTGGCCTTCTTGGGATCGTCAGGCCAGTCCTCCTTCAAAGTGACACCGGAACCCCAGGACCATCTAGGACCAAGCTGCCCGCTTTGCTGAGTCAGGGTGTAGCGAGAGTTCTCTGTCACCCGCTGCAATCAGGGCAGACCCCCATCCCAACAGTGACTTTGCCCTCTTCTGTCCAGTGTACTCAAAAGCGGGGGAGGAGTTGTAGGGGCTGGCCCAGAGAGCCCAGCCCCCTCGGAGCCAACCCAAGCCACAGTGGCTCTGTCCCAGAAGTCACGTCTCCTTCAGAGGAGCAGCAAGGTAGAAAGGAGAGCATGCTAGGGCCAGCCGGCTACCTGCTGGGCTCTGTTAAGTCTGGGCAATCAGGAGAGCAGGATGCTTGCCTCACCAGTGATCATTGGCCCAAGAACCAAGGTCAGTCCATGCTAGCTCTAAAGAATGTTAGCTTTCTTGCAACCAAATGAGTCTCCAGCAGCAGGCCAGCTAAGAGCCTGGATGTGGTGTTGGGGCTGGCGGCAGGGGCCCCAGGCAGCGGAATCAGCTCTGCACGTGCAGGAGGGAGTGTGTACACAGCCACCTGTCTATGTCATCTCAGATCCAAAGCCCCCGTGACACTCGGCACATGAGACCACCAGCTCTGTGCTCCCCGTCTCATGTTGAGTCCACCCCCTCCTGCCAGGAGCAAGGACCAAGCTGTGCCCCAGGGACCAACACCAGGTTCAGTCCTCGCCCAGAGGGAGGAAAGGTGTCAGAGAGGAGACCTGGGGCCTGCTGCGGTTTCTGAGCTAACTCGGTGTGGAGGGATGGGGCGGCATACAGTCTACATTCCCCATTGTTAACAATCGCTCCCCTGATGTTTCAAAAACAACACTCAAAAAATTAAGAGTTTGGCATTTTTGACAAAAATTTCTTTAGTTTATAAAAGCGGCAGAAAAGGAAACATTGCATACACTTGAGGTGGGGGCACTGTGGCTCCCCTAAGCCAAGGGACCAGTGGACCTCCCAACCCAACTGACAGTCACATTCACACCTGACATGTTTTGTATTTTTTAATAAAGTTTGTAATCCAATGGACACACGGAACAAAACTGTGCTGAGAAAAAGTTTCATAAATTAATAAGTGTTAGGAAGTTGGAGAGGTCCAGGCTAACGGGAGGAAGGGTCCGCCAGTCCTTCCGTACAGGTGCTGCATGAAGCTTCCAAGTGGCGGGAGCCGGGCCCGGCTGTACCGAAGCGCACTTATACAAAGTCTGAGTATGAAAATAAGATCTTCTCTGAAAACACATTTTTGGCACAGATTAAAAAAAACGTATGTCAGGGAATCTGATTTTAAGTCAGTATTATATATATTTATATATATTATATATTTATATATACACATACATCCCATGTTCTGCATATCCCACCAAGAAAATCCTGTTTGCTCTTTCCAATTGTAAACTGTACATCCCGGTGAGTCAAAGATGGTGGCAGCAGGAAGATTCAGGAAGGTGACATATCCGAATCAGCAAGGGAAAGGGAGGGAAGGGGACCGAAAAAAAGAAATGAAATGAAATGTTCCTTGACCCCAAGGTCCCGGCAGAAGTGTGGAGTCCTACGGTGGTGTCCTTGCCGTGTTCAACACCCAACACCCAGTCACAGCCCGTCTTCACTGTGCAAAGTCCAAGTCACTAATTTAGTGCAAAGGCAGTTCTGTTTCTTGTTTCTTAAAAACAAAAACAATGTAATTCCACTGCCCTGTTCCTTTTCTTCAAAAAGAAGAGAGAGAACCCCAGTCCCAAGGCGCCTGCCAGGCCAGCGGTTGATCATCTGTGTCCTTGGGCTAGAGCATCAGGTAAACATACACGTAGCAGCACCACTGCCCAGAGGTCTGTCCGCAGGCGCGGGAGCAGGAGGCTGGCATCTGGCAGTGGAGTCCTCCCCTTCAGCAGCTGCTGCTGGCCTGGCTGTGCTGTCCACTGGTTCCGTTTCACTGCAGAGCCTTGAGAACGTACCCAAAGGTGGGGACCATCCAGGGGCTCACACCGAGGCAATGACAATCATGAGGTGGGGAGAAATGTTGGAGATGCTGGCCAGGAGGTCTGGGGCCAGCCGGGAGAGGTGACTCTCGGAGAATTCGCAGGGCGGGAAGATCTGCAGCACGTAGGCGGGCTGGGGGGACGGTGGAAAGAAAGGTAGCAACCTCTGTTTTTGCATCACCCACCCCACATGTTCACTGTGGCTCCAACGGGGGAAGCAGAGACGTGCTGAGCCACTCCCCCAACCATCCAGCATCTCCTTGACCACACCTACCAGAAAAGGCCTGAACTGTGTCTGACAATCGAATACAACACCTCGTGTCCCCCCCACTGGGGTCTCTAGAGATGAAGTTTAAGAAAACCCTCTGGTGCAGGTTTCTGCTCGGACACTGGCACCTCCTATCCCAGTGCCAGGGTCTGAGTCCGGCTCTGCTTCCTGTCCAGATTCAGGCTAACGCACTCCCTGGGAAGCAGCAAGTGCAGCAGCTCAGATACTCATGGGGGAACAGGGAGCAACCCTGATGAGATCCTGGGCTCCTGGCTTTGGCCTGGCCCAGAGCCAGCTGCTGTGGACTCACAGGAAGTAAACCAGCAAACTGAAGACTGCTGTCTGTCTCAAACACAATCTGCCCTCAGCTGCTCCCCAACTCCTCCCGCGGAGGTGTGTGCTGGCAGCCCTTTGCCCTCACTGCTCCTGTGTTGCCGCAGCTGGCCTTGGCAAGCCCAGCCAGCAGACTTACTGTGCAGTTTGCTCTAGACTAGCCAGCCCCCTGTACACACCTCCATCCCTGTAAAAAGGAAAACCCAGACCAACCTGATTGGAGCCAGGGTTGGGAACATTGATAATGCCGGCTGCCTGTTTGGCTTGCAGGTATGTGATAAAGGCAGCCTTGAGAGACTCAGTCTGGCTCACGACGTCTTCTTGGTCACGGCCACAGGGCAGAGCCAGCAACAGACAGTAATCTGTCTCCACCTGTGATAGAGACAGGCCAGCCACTGTGAATGGGGGGTTCCTGGCCAGCAGCAACCCAGGTCAACCCCTGAGGTGCCCAGTCCCCAGTAACAGCTGCTGCTCTGACTGCTGCTGGGTCCACATGCCTTACGCCCCCAGGTTCCAGGGACCCGAGAGCTCAGACAGGTGGGTGAGGGCTTCCCCAGGGTCTGCCAATCTCACCGTCATCCTCCGCGCAACCCCTTCCAGCTGCGAGGCCTCCAGCCGCATCCTCTGGGCTATCCGCAGTGGGGGGCCTCCTTCAGAGAGGGGCAGGGAGCGATGGGCCAGCACGTTGTTGCCAGACACAAAGTGGAGCTGCACAGCAGCTGTGTCGTTCTTGAGGGCCAACAGACCCTGCCATACGATGGGGTACTTCTGCTCACAGGGAGACAAAGAGTTAGCGGAAGGGCTGCCAACCCAAGCTACACTGGGCACAACCCCCAAGAGGCAGCCCCAACTGGGGTTTACCTTCAGAAGTTGGACCATGTCCACAGGTCTCTGGGATGTCAAGTGTGGTGAGGCATCTGGCTTGGGGCTTGGCTGGGCTTCAGCATGTGGCAGAGCCAGCCCTGGCGGGGTGCTGGGGCCAGAGGCCGTGGTGACAAACAACGGTTGCTTTGGGGCAGCCTGAGCAGGAAGAGGGGCCTGAAGGTCAGGCTTCATGGAGACAGAGACAGGGGAAGGGTGGGAAGTCTGGCCTGCTTCCACCTGGGCCCTCTGCAGCTGGGCATGGGACTCCGAGGGCCTGCTGGAAGGGCCAACTGGGAGGCGAAGCTGCTCGACTCCCCCAGTCTGGGTCCCCTTGGCCTCCTGGGAGACTTGAGGCACCTTGCTGCTTGACGGCTGGCCAGGCTGGCTGAGCTGTGATGGCTGGCAAGGCAGGGCAGGCTGAGCAGACTGCGGGGATGGCACAGGTGGGACAGGCTGTGTGGACTGCGAGGGTTGTGCGGGTGGCAAGGGCTCACTTTCTGGAGGACCCTGCAGGGAACAGCAAAGGCAAAGGGGCTGCCATCAGAGTCCATGCCAATAAGCACCACCCGACCCCACAGTTGGCCCAATGGGCCTCAGGGCAAAGGTCAGAGGGCATCTCCTCTAAACCCAGCTACTTTCCTGACCCTCTCCATATCTGCAGGCAGCAAGAGCCACCATGCCAATCATGCCCACAAAGAACTCCTCCCCTCTGCAGCCCCTCCAGTGTCGCCTGTCACTGCAGGAGGTTCCTCATCACACCCCGCCCCTGGCTGCTGTATTTTCAAGAGCATATGACCAGCTCACCTGCTACTCCACCACTGTGCTGCCAGCTTTCTAACACATTTCTACATCCAAGCCTGCTGAGCCCAAGTGGATGCCCACAGACAGGCCTTCTCACCTGCGCAGGAGCCTTGGTCCGTGAAGTCAGGCCAACTGAGGAAGCGGCAGGGAACTGGGCATGAGCGAGCTGAGCTGGGGCGTGATAAGTCCGGATGTCGCCGTACCTGTACTCCTGAAACAGCTCCCCACTGGAGTGCACAATCTGCACCCCATGGGTCACCACCACAGGCGGTGTCAAAGGCAGCCCCTGGAGTTGGTTGCTAGGGGTGACAGTGAGTATGCGCGCCTCACCGTGAGGGGCAGGGGCAGGCGCAGGTGCAGGCACAGGCGCAGGCGCAGGGGCTGCTTTAGCATCTGATGTCTTGACAGCTTCTTTCACTGGCTGCTGCGGAGCCTTGCTGGCTAGAGGGGCCTTCACGACCCCATCCGCTGTGCGGGGCTGCTCGCTGACTGCCGTCACATGTGGATGTACCATGATCCTTACATCTCGGGGCACGGTGTACGGGTGCAACCGGTACTCAGACTGCATGACCAGCACCTCAGACTGCACTGGGGCCGCAGCGCGAGCCACGGGGAGGTGATACTGGACTTCGTCC